AGTCAAGCTTTCAGATACGGCTATATTGTCTATAATGGGTGACATGCTTTAAACCACAAGCCGTTGTGCGCATGAAATGTTTTCGAAACAGCTTTGTGCCCACGTGTTCTTAAGGGAAAACGCGGAGGAACAAGTGTGCTACTTGGAATGGGTGGTCAGCTTTTGAACCATGAAGTCGTTATGATAATCGCATGTTCTCACACCCGATGGCCATGTAAGGTTGTGCCACGCCATAATACTGCAATATGCATGCTGTATTGCGAAGCGTGTATACGGGACACGTGCGTTTATAAAACATGGAAGTTATTTTCACTGCACTTCCAGACAGACACGTGGCTGTGCGATTAACACCTGCCTTTCCCGCAAACGGCCTGGGTTCTATATTCACTAAAGCCCGGAAATTTTTACTGTTGGCCTTATTTACACTTTTTTTAATTTTTCGGGCACAGGCAAGACTACAAAACTTTTTGCTCACAACCAATGACGCTGACACCGACGCTGATGCAGGAACTTTTGCGGAACGAGCTCCTAAATTTTATCCCGTTAAAACGCCGATCTTGGTTGGTAGCGTAGCTATCACTATGGGGCTCTTGATAGAAGCATCTGGGAAACGCCACTCACAAAGAGGTGGATGAACTGCTTCAGATGCGAATACTACCTATCCGACTATCCTAATTACTTTATTCACAATTCCACCAGTTTTCTACCATGTACTCAAATAAAATATAATTAGCATTATGAGCTTTTAGCATCGCGCCAGGAGCCAGATGCTGTTTAGCTCCTAGGCTGCCTCGATATCTTGAAACAATGACTCGGTGCGGGAGGTCCGGAACAGTGGCAGGGGTGGGTCAAGGTGCGGCTGCAAGGCTTGAGCTGACTGGAACACGGCCGCCAAGCTGAGAGGCAGCGGTGCAGCGCAGGTCACTAGTCCATTGCTCTGTGGTCACTAAATGTTGTGAAACGTGAGACGAGACTGCGGCGATGAGGCCGTGCCGTGGTCGCAGCTTTTATTTGGGTGATGACATATCGAAGCAATATCGCCTACAGCGTCCAGTCAGGTCCAGAAGCTAGGCCGTTCTCCCATGCGCATGGCTCCGACGTCACGAGCCACTCGGCTCATTTCGTTTTCTCCACGCCACGCCGGAAAAATGGCGCTTGTATTTCCGCCCGGTAATGCAAGCGCTACGGCTCCCAATGCGCCGACACTCAACCCCGACTTCTCATCTCACCTGGATGTGCCTCAAAAGTGGCGTGGTCATCGTACCAAGAGCCAAACGCACGGGCAGCTTTCCACCCACCCTTCCGAGGTACCCCAGAGCGCAGGCATCCACTGCAAGAAGGCGCAAGTATGGCGAAAGCACCCCCTGACACGTCGTCAATTGCGAAAGGCACATTTGTATCGATGCTCTCTACACCAGCAGCCAACATTTTGCCAACAACGTCCTTCGCACCCCCAGCACCGTCGTTTTTGCATATCCAAGTCATAACACCTCTTTTGCTGCAGTGGTACTCGGCTGCGGACCCACAGGTCACGGAATGTAATCCTCATCGCGGCGGCTGCAACTTCGATAGATGTGAAAATGCTGTAGGCCCGTGTGCTCAGATTTGGGTGCACGTTAAAAAAAACACGGGTGGTTAGAATTTCCGGAGCCTCCACTTCGGCGTCTTTTATAGCCATATGAGGTTTTGGGGCGTTAAAACCCACACATCATTCACTTGCGCTGCAGCCCAACACCGACGGTACGCGTCATGCGGACATCACGGCACGTTCCACCACCCCTTGACCTGTACGCTCATGGCAGCACCGTGGACACCCACAACATGACAATCAGTGAGATATCATCGCCGCAATCATTGCAGATTCCCGCGCCTACGACGGGGGAACAAGACTGGCGTAGCCAGCCCATACGGCCGACCATCAAGATTTCTGCCGGCAGTGTCTGATTCCCACCTCCTCGCCAACTCCGCTGCTCTCAGTACCGCAAACCAAGGCTACGACGTTGACCCTATGCCTTTTAAGAACACTGCTCGGACTTCATTACGCACATTTAGGTCTGCCGTCTATGTACATAGTCTGCTCTCACTTGGTTTTTATTTTGTTTAGTCTATTTAAATCGCCCAAAGTGCTGGGGGTGGGGAGTTTAGGCCAACTGGTCGCGCAAAGAAAAAGAAGCAAGCCGCGTGGTACGTGGTGCACGAGCTACGTGCAGGGAAGAACAGCCTAGCTTCTGGCCTAGCTGGACGCTGCAGCTGCAACCCCGTCTATGCCCGCGTCCCTTAAGACCCGCGACACGGCACGGACTCATGAAAGCTGAATTGTCTCAAGTTATTTTACAAGTTGAAAAACAATTGTACATCTCTGAATAGAATGTATCGCATAACGTTCGCAGAGCTCCCAGAAGCAAAAAAAGTTCCCGCTGTAACACAACATAATACTACGGCACCGCATAGAGTAGCAAGCATATATCCGATATCTTGAACAATAAAAGCCAAGTGTTTGTCGCGTACAGTATGCTGTTGCAATTATTCGCAGCTGAAGAGTTGGCGTGACTGACCTCACACGCCTGGCAAATATCCAGATTGGAATAACTCGTCAATAATGAAAACCACCTCCCACTGTATGCCGTTTTACGTTTTAATCGTTGAAGACATTACGCATAGCTAATGAGTCAGATAATTTGATGAATTACCAATGACTCCCGAAATGCGCGTGTATAATAAGTTTTTTACCACATCCCTACAATCATGAATCTGCCGCAGGAAAATTTCAAAATCAACGAAACATCGCCTAACGTCTACAAATTAGCCATTCACCATTGTAGAAGTAGCACAACACAGATTCAACACGTGAGGCGTCAACCTGCAATCTCACCCAACGCAGTCGCATCTGTTCCTTTCTCCGGTGGCTCCCTATCGGATGAAGTTGAGCTAATCTCGTCTTGTGTCTTCACTACTGCCGGTGGCTTTTTTACGGAGGAAAATGGCGCAATGTCATCCTCTGTCTTGACAACAGCTGGCGGCTCCCAATCAGATGAGCTCGAAGTCATTTTGCCTGTCTCCACCACCGTTAGTAGCTCCAAGCCAGACGAGGTCAACGCAATGTCGTCCTCTGTCATCACCACAGCCGGTGACTCCCAATTAGACGAGGTCGAAGTCATTTTGCCTGTTTTCACCACGGCTGGTGGTTCCAAACCGTATGAAGTCGAGGCGATCTCGTCCTTTGTCTTGACTACCTCTGGCGGCTCCCAATCAGACGAGGTCGAGGTAATCTCGAGCTCTGTCTTCACCTCGGCTGGTGGCTTCCAATCAGACGAGGTCGATGCCATCATGTTTGTTTTCACCACGACCGGTGGTTCCAAACCAGATGAGGTCAAGGCAATCTTATAGTCTGTCTTCACCATGATCGGCTTCTCCCAATCTGGCGAGATCGAAGTGATCTTGTCTGTCTTCATGACGACCGGCGGTTCCAAACCAGATGAGGTCGAGCCAATCTCGTCCTCTGTCTTGACAACGGCTGGCGGCCCCCAATCAGATGAGGTCTTGGTAACCTCGTCCTGTGTTTTAACCACGGCCGGTGGCTCCCAATCAGGCGACGTTGAAGTCATCAGGTCTTTCTTCACCACGGCTGGTGACTCCCAACCAGATGATGTTGAGGCAATCTCGCCCTCTGTCTTCACCACGGCCGGTGGCTCCCAATCAGACGATGTTGAAGTCATCTTGTCTGTCTTCATGACAACCAGAGGTTCCAAACCAGATGATGTCGAGGCAATGTCGTCCTCTGTCTGAACCCCAGCTGGCGGCTGCCAATTAAACGAGGTTGATGTTATCTCATTCTCTGTCTTTACCACGGCTGGTGGTTTCAACCCAGATGAGGTTGAGACAATCTTGTCCTCTTTCTTGACGACGACGGGCGGCTCGCCATCAGACCGGGTCGAATTATTCTGGTCCTCTGTCATCATCACGGCCGGTGGCTCCCAATCAGACGAGGTCGAGGTCATCTGGGCTGTCTTCACCACGGCCGGCAGTTCTGAACGAGACGAGGTCGAGGTGATATCTCCCTCTGTCTTGGGCACGGTTGGTGAATACCTTAAGGACGAGGTCGAGGCAATTTCGTCCTCGGCCTTCACCACAGCTGGTGGCTCCCAATCAGACGAGGTCGAAGTCATGTCGTTTTCTGTGGCGATCACCACGACTGAACTCGTGGTGCGCTCCGTTTTAGTCATCGCCTTGTGCAGCGACGTCCGTCTCGTTACACGTCCATGCAGCGAAGGTCGTGGGCTTGCATGACCTCCAGTAGTGTTGACAGGGTCATGAATCACGTCCTCCTCAGCGGCTGTTCCACCTAAGAGCACAAGGCCCCGGTTTTTCTCCCTCTTGTAGCTGAAGAGCAGGAGAGCTAAAGTGGCCAGCTCGAGCAGTACTACCGAGACCAACATGATCTTGGGCTTCCTGTCCCTGCTGCCCCTGTCGACGCCACTTCTGTCATTTGCGGGCTTGAGCGGAACCCCGGCGCCCGCACTCACCCGTGATGTTCGCCGATTTGTCGTGGCATTCTGGACAGCCTCTCGGGGCCCGGCGGATGTGTCCCTCCATAACGAGTACGCTGAGCGCGACCGACGGCCCCACGAGATGTCGGGTGTTGCATGCTTGAGCGGCAGACGCTGTGGAATTATTGTCGACTCTCTCACGGGTAGCGACGGCCTCGAATTCATCGCGTCTCGTCCTGCTTTAGCGGTTGAAGCGCGTGGCACCGAGATCACGTTTTGATAAAGATCATAATGATGATGTTGATGATGATTCTTTACCACGGCGCAAGAAGGAATGTGGAATAAACATTCACCTAATAAATGGTTAGAGCGCGAAATCTCAAGGGTGCACTTTTTATCGCAAGACACCGGTGGACGCTGCTACACCCGGCTTCATCCAATAGACCACTAGGGTTCAAGACACGTGAGCAGCCGTGATGCTCACGGTGATCCTCGCTCACCCCTGTGCAGACGATGGTGAGGGAGCCTCCCAAGAATGCTCCAGAATTGTCAGAATCAGGTATGCCTTTGCCTCCAATCTTCGCTCTGAAAATTCCACGTTACGAGCTGCAGCGTTGGTTTCGACTCGGTACACGTACATGTCACGTGCCTGTGATGGAAAAACTGGTAAAAACACGGGTGATTCCTCTATCGTAGGAATCGGAAAATTAAGAAATATAAAGATGTTTTCACAGAGGTTGTTGAGCATTTATTGGGTGTTGTTTCGCCAAAAGGGCAACGCGAGTGACGGAAAGCAGCTAGAAACATGCACTTCACTGCTCAAGCAGCATGGTTGCATGAAAATAACATACACAGGATAAGCGAGAACTAACACCTTTCACATTCTGACACTCATCTCTCACAACTTGTGTCGGCAAGGTATACTCGCGCAGGTTATTCACAGTCGACTCCAAAGGCACATAGAAGACAGTGCCCCCTTTCCGCATGCAATATTCTGAGTTCGCCTTAAACTTTCCACGCACGGTGTAATACTTCAACTGAGGAGTCATATTACCGACGGTGAAGACGGCCCTCGGTGCACGACACGTGCTATTTTTGGGCTACACCTCACCAAGACATTAGATAATGCTCTACAAACATTCATTTTGGACGCTCTACCCATGTTTAACGCAGGCGCTCTCACCTACTGCTACAGCCACAATTTTTTAACGCACAGGACAGCCGCACTCTCGGTCAACGGTTTGCCAGCACCGTTCATCACTCTCCGTGTAAGAGCGTCACCACAGGCGTTAGTCCTCTCTCTTTATTAAAGGCAATAGTCTTTCTTGGGGACCTTCGACGCAAAAGTTTTGGTCTGCATGTCTGTCCACCCTTAACAGTACCTTAAACGGCACCAAAGTGGCCATGCGATTCTCCAAACGGCCGACCCCATCCGCAGCGCCCACCAATATTGCGCAAGGTTCAACTTTCGTATTTGTGCGATTGTCAATTAAAAAGCAATTATTGTGCATATCTGAGGCACCATAACAACACGTCAATATTAGGTATGTGCATTTATTACTAGAAAAGGCAGACACAAGTAATTCTATTGATGTTAGCGCTTATCACGCTGCGCTGACCATGCAACGCTTGCACGGAAAGGTAAGTATTTCCGAAGCTTTGCTAAGACAACACGGTGGCGACAGCTATTCATCGCCTTGCGTTCTACACCTTATCACTTCAGAGACGGGCGTGCACGCCGCGCGCTCCGTTTTCCAGGATAACTGGAAGATAGCGCTCATATCTCACGTGTGACACGACTTGATGCGCTTCTTCGCCTCCGCTGCACGCTGGAGGCACTCTAACCCCAAGTTCACACTGAAGCGTCTGCTATCAGGGGCGAAGCTCCTCGGGGCGGCACCCATTCGTCCCTCGTCGTAGTCGTAGTGCGTAACCAGCCTTACGTTTTCACCTGCAAAGTGGGGCCGGTTAGAGATTTCTCCTGTGCGTTGTTGAACAATAAAAAATTCGAAGCGTGCGCGTTAACTAAAAGCCGAATTCTCGTGTCTCTCATTCCCCATTAGCAGCCATTGGAATGTACTATCGGCATTAAATGCAAGGCAAACAGCGGAGCGCGTTGCAGAAGCCTTATCAATACATAGTGCGTGCCGTCGACCAGTCATTGGCACAGACAGGTCCGCACATCCGGTGTGGCACCACTGCGCGATCCGCCTACAGAGCAATATTTTTGCTTGTGTTCCAGGTATGGTATTTGAAAGGAACAAAATAAAAAACAGAGCTATTGCAGCCGAAGGCGAGTATTGTAGCACGGTTCACCATCACGGAGTCCATCATCATGGAATTCCTGGCTAATTCTATTTATAGTCGACAAATGTCGGTTCATAATGCTTGCAATTTCACGCTGTTTCACTTCGTGCCGGTAAAGCGAAACGTTTTGGGCTCTCTCTTCCGAACAAGCGCTTGGCATTTCCAGTTAAAGAGATGCGTTTTCGGGTCGGTCTCTGAAACAAGAGGGCAGGTAATGCAGCGCTGGCGAACGAGATACGACGATCGTTTGAAAATCAACCACAAACCGATTATATTTCTCTTTTCATTCTATCGTGCAAAGTCATCGGTTGCACTGCGATGCTGGAGTAAAAGCAAGCGATTGCGAGTGATACGATCAACAGCGCTTGGCACGCCCACGATGGCCACCATTACCACCATACGAAAATTAAGCAGAGACGGAGATAACGCACTGTTGGGGGATCGCGCAGTGCTGCCAAACCGGATGTGCACGCCTGTCTATGGTGATCACTGGACGGCCAATACTATACTGTTTCTAACGCTTGAAACACGTGCTCCGCCGTTCGGGTTTCATTTGACACCGATAGTACATTGAGCACTATCAGACAACAAAGGGTTGCTACGTTATACTCGCTGGGTGTAACCTCCTTGTTTTAGAAAGGTTTACCGAGCGTTGGACCGCAGTGCCATTAACACAGTGAACTAGTATATACCATGAACTGAAGGTGGTTAAATGTGAGAAGTAGGCACGAAACAAAAGCCAAATTCTCCCGTCTCTCATTCCCCATTAGCAGTCATTGGCATGTGCATTGAGCACTATCTGACAGGAAAGGGTTGCTACGTTATACTTGCTGGGCGTAACCTCCTTGGTTTTAGAAAGGTTAAGCGAGCGTTGGGCCGCAGTGCCATCAATACAGTGAACAGGTATATACCCTGAACTCGAGGTGGTTTAAGGTGGGAAGTAGACACGAAAGCGCAAGCCGTAAGAAAGTGTGCGTGTGCCACCTCACGTTTAGTCCTTGGAATGTCTGCTGGATGGTGGTGCTTCTATATGGGGAATATATTGCCGCGTTTTATTTCCCAAGAAGTAGTCGTCATCCGGGTCGTCGGGTAGCGGTTGGTCGACAGGCGCACGAGAGAGACAGTCGGCGTCGGAGTGTTTTTTGCCGGACTTGTAAATGACAGTAATGTCATATTCTTGAAGTCTCAGGCTACATCGTGCGAGGGGGTCCTTCAAGGTGGCTAGCCAACACAAGGCGTGGTGGTCTCTCACAACTTTGAAGGGCCTGCCGTAGAGGTAGGGGCGAAATTTCGACGTAGCCCAGATGATGGCGAGGCACTCCTTTTCTGTTGTGGAATAATTTGCTTCTGCTTTGGATAGCGATCGGCTGGCGTAACTAATAACCCTTTCAAGTCCGTCAGCCCTCTGCACAAGAACGGCGCCAAGACCTACGCTGCTTGCGTCAGTATGTATTTCTGTCTCGGCGAATTCGTTGAAATGGGCAAGTAACGGAGGCGTCTGGAGGCGATGTTTAAGCTCCTGGAAAGCGTGTTCCTGTGGCGTTTCCCACTTGAACTCCACGTCGGCCTTGGTAAGGTTAGTGAGAGGATCGGCGATGCGGGCGAAGTTTTTCACGAACTGCCTATAATAGGCGCACAGGCCCAGAAATCGGCGCACGGCCTTCTTGTCAGTGGGCGGCGGGAAGTCGGCGATGGCGGCTGTTTTCCGTGGATCGGGACGAACTCCAGACTTGCTGATAACGTGCCCCAGAAACAAGAGCTCCTCATACGCAAATCTGCACTTTTCTGGCTTCAGTGTGAGTCCGGACGTCTTGATGGCTTGAAGTACAGCTTCAAGGCGCCGAAGATGCTCGTCGAAACTCGAGGAAAACACGACGACGTCGTCCAAGTACACAAGGCAAGTCTGCCACTTCAATCCTGCCAGTACTGTATCCATAACCCATTGAAAAGTTGCAGACGCTGAGCGAAGGCCGAAGGGCATCACCTTAAACTCGAAGAGGCCGTCCGGTGTTATAAACGCCGTCTTCTCTTGATTACGCGGCCCACTTGATTACGAGGTTGTCCCCGACGGCATCACAAACTCTCAACGACGCCGATCACGACCTGAAGTCGTGCATGTCGCGCTCTTCAAGCCGTTTCATGCGCGTTAACAAACTGAAACAGTGTTTTTTTTTTGTATTATTGTTTCATCGTAATTTACTCATTGTACTTTCTTGCATTATTATTGTACCTTCATCTTTAGTTAAAGCATCGAGACGATGCCTTTTTCAAAGGGGGGCAATGCCACGTTCCATTTCCCAAGCTTTTGTTATCGTCCCAAAACACCACACGATTCTCAGCGCAAACCGCGCCTACAGTTTTCGAGAGGGTTCCGGACTGTAGTAGATCATTTCGATAAGATCACGCCCACTGTGCGAATGGTACAGATTGTTCTGGAACGTACGCCGCCGCCAGCGGTAGCGCTAGAACATGCGACGGCGGGAGTATAAATGCCGACGCGCTTCGCCGCTTGTCAGTTGTTGAACGAAGGCCGACGCTCCGTTCGCCGCTGTCAGTCCGAGACTGCTATCTGTGCAAGACTGATGCTGTAATCAGACTTTCCATTTACTAGGCACAGGTTCGCCCAAATAAACAGTTAAATCCCAACACGAAGTCTCCTGTCTTCGGCCACGTCACGACCCCGTGACAATATGATGAAAAGATGCGAGATGATTGTACTTTGAGTGTTGACTAGATGGACGAATGGACACACAGACAGATGCATGGACGGACGCAGGGATGGCTGCATAGACCGATGGACGCATGGACGGACGAAGGGGTGGATGCATAGAGAAACACAGGGACGGACGCACGGATGGACGTGCGGTCACACGAACAGACGCACGCACGGCCGGGCGGATGGACGCACGGACGGTCACACAGACGGACGCATGGGCGGACGGAAGCAAGAACGAATGAACGGACGGATGCTTCGCCCCACTCTCCATCATTCACCCCTTGGATATGCCGCAATTTTTTTACAGCAGCCGAAATTCACCTGCCGCCGAAACGCAGCATCGTTCGCACTGGATGCGCCCCGCGCCACCGGATATGCCATCTTACACGGGGCCAACGCGGGTCGGATGCGCTGTCACCCGGTTGTTGTCGTGGCCCGCAAACGTCACTGCACTATCCGGTCATCTAGACTTCGTTGATTCTTGTACAACTGCAGTAAGAAGAAGTAGTACTGCTTACTTTGCTGGCAAGTCGCCG